TTCCCTGTGCCCAACACCCCGAGCTGTAGACGGTCTCTTGGAATCCGGACTCACCCGCCAGGTGTGGAACGAGGGCGTTGGCTAAGTCCCCGAGAGCGGGCACTGGCAGGTGTAGGGCTCAAGTTTTGAGTTTTAGGGATTCAGGCTTGGGTTTCATGACTTTAAAGTTTAGGGCTTTAGGTTATAAGGCTTTATGTTTTTTAGGGTTAGGGCTTAAGGCGCGGCTTTAGGCTTTAGTTTTCAGGATCTAGGGCTGAGGATTCAGAGATGCAAGCCTCAGGTTCACTTGGAGTGTCAGGTGCTTCTGCAAGTGAATGAATTAAAAAGGGGGATAGCTGGGGCATAGACAGTGCTCAATATGACTTATTGGTGGTTAGTAGGCATATCGGAATATGTTATATGAGGTTTACATCTGGATTATATTCCCTTCTTCCCTACTAACCATCAGTAACATTAGGGGTGGGGTGCGGTGTTTAAGCATGAGCCCTGCACCAAGTCCCCAGACTCGAGCTAGATATCAGTGGATAGAATGGAGGCCGTATACCCCCAATGTACTTGTTGGTGGTTAATTGGGAGTAAGGGAATATAATCCCTATGTGAACCCTATATAACTTATTCCCTTATTCCCTACTAACCGCCAGTAAGTATAGTACCATGATACAGGGGAAACCCTCAATAATGTAATGGTGTCCATTATCTTCTTCCAGCGGGTTAGAGGATACCCTCCGTATACTGGGCTTATTTCTGCTTTGTTGCAGGTATGTGGGGATGCTTGGACTATCGTTAGTTGACAAGTTAGGGTGCATTGTGTAGGGTTGAGGGTTTCAGGTTTAGAGCATCAACAGATACAAAGATTACCAACCTGCAAAGCATGCCCTACATTTTGAGGTTCAGCCGTTTAACACCAATAGTCCTAAAAGGGATCATGATGGTTATTCTCAAAGCCTAGGGCGGAGGGACTTCCACGGCTCCCCTTCTAAAGCATCACCGGGGTCCCCCACCCTCTGCCCTGAACACCCTCCCTAAATTCCTTGTAATCTTACCCCTAAATCCACACCCTAAACCCCGGGGCCAAGGGATTGCTTTTGGGCTTTGGGTTGAGGGTTAGGTGTTTTTTTGGGGTTCAAGGTCTAGGGTTGAGTTGAGGGTTTAGTTCAAGTTCAGGGCCTGACAAGTACCTGACTTCAGCACGTAGCACCTTAATCTCGGAAACTTGAATCCTAAACCCCGTTCGCCTCAGATCAGCGAATTTTGGGCTATAAGGGAGAGAAAGAATTACATGAGGGTCCTACTAGATTAGTACAGGGTGGGGGGTCCTCCTAACCTGAACCCTGAGCTCTAGTCATTCTATCTTTTGCCTTAGGGCCCAAACCCTAGAACTGAAGTGAACCCCGAGCCCTAAACACCATAAGGAGGGTTTGGATGAATTAGACAGGAAGTATCGGCATACACCCATAAGCGGTAAAGTAAAAACACCTTATATATTGGCTTACATGTTGGGGACATGCTTGCTTCAAGAAAGACCCTAAACCCCAAGCCCTGAACCCTAAACCCTGAGCCCTACACCTTAGGCCCTAGACCCTCTCTTCTGAACCCCTAAGCTCTGAATCCTTTGCACTCCCTCCGGCGCACCATCGTCGACAGTGGCTCCGTCGCCCTGCCCCGTAGTCGCCTGCGCAGAAAAACGGTTCAGGGTTTAGGGTTTAGACAAGGTGCCCGACCCTAAACCTTAAACCCAAAACCCAAAACCCTAAACCCAAACAAGACTTACAGCGTCCTTAACTGCGGAATATGCATTCTTCTTCTTCTATTACCTGATACTTGCCTTTTGTCAAGGAACCTCTAGGGTTTAGGGTTTAAGATTTAGGTGGATAATTATCAGGCGGGCACCCTTACTTTTGTAAAGGAAGCTTATGTAGACCTCATATAGCTCCATTACCCTTATATGAGCCTTATATAGGGGTACCCAGCTGGTAACTAACCACCTGGGGGTGTCCTTGATAACCCTAAACCCTAAACTCTAAACCCTGTACCCTAAACTCTAAACCCTAAACCCTAAACTCAAAACCCTAAACCCTAAACCCTATTTCCAGTTCAAACAACAAGTATAAGAAGTGTAAGGGCCTGCAGCTCCCGGTCGGTCGTCTCCATGCGAAGCACCATGCTCCTCAGGAAAAAACCCAGACCCCTGGGAGGATCTAAAAATTAGATCCCCTATATAAACCCATTATAACCCTTATAAAATCCTCATGTAATTTCCCATATGGTTCTACTGGTTCTAATTTTTAGATCCCTTTGGGGGTCTGGGGAACGTGGTTTGTCCCCAAGGGCCCTATGTCTCGTCCATACTTCCAAGCTTTCAAACTAAGGGTCCGCAGTATGGCCCTACTTACCTCCAAGCTTTTCAATCTGAGGGGCCAGACTAGGGGCCCATAGTTCCAACCTTGGGGGGTTGGGGTTGAGGTTTGAGGGTAGACACTGAAAGTTAGGCCCAAGCTCTTTTGGAGAGCCGGGGTTAGATCTGAAGCGTGGGCGTGTCCTGCCAAGAGTCTGGAGGGAGGCTACAGCAGCAGAGTCAGGGTTTCAAACTGTGAAAGGACTTGTCCCTGCTGGAAACCACATGCCCTGACAGTGCCCGATTCAGCTCTCGAGCCCCAACCTTATTGTATACGCCTGACCAGAGCAGTGTAGAAAGCCAACCATCTGAAATTCAGCTCAGCTCAGCAGCTGTGCTGCGATAGATCTCAAAACTTGAGAAGCGCAGGAGAAAAATGCAACGAACAAATGCTCTAGCTCCCCAAAGAACCCTCATGAACCAACAGAATGCAACCCCTAAGAATCACTTAGGTCCTGATACAGAGAAAATCTCTTACTCCAGTGCTGAGAGTCCCAGGGGAGGCTTCGACCTTTGCAACCAGTTCGCCATCGATCAGAGTCCTAGCGACTGCGGAGAAGCCTTCTGGAGATTATTAGGGGATTTAGGGTTTAGGGTTATACGGGAGTATATGATATAAAGTTCATATTATAGGGAGTATATTCTCGTACTCGGTACTAACCACCGGCAAGCTAGGCTTTTTGCTTTATAGTGTGTACTGGCCCAAAGAAACAACACACATGAGCAGTACCGCCACCATTCTGCTATCACAGTTTGGAAGCTGAGGTAGCCAGGGAACCTGAAATGTGAAGAGCGGAGGCAATCCAAAATTGATACTGGTAACCCAGACCCCTGATTAGTAAACCCCTCCACTTAATAGGGATGATAATGGGGATCCTATTAGTAAGGCCCCCAAAAGGAAGGGGTTCTCAATCATGGGTCCACATTGTCAGGCTTTGTGGGTTTTCTGCTCAATGTTACGAGTTCTGTAGTGGAAGTGCCTTGCCTCACCCACTAGGGTGGCCAGCAACCTAGTACTGACTAATTAGTTCTGGCAAAGAAGCTAGAACCTCCCACTCCTTAAAGGAAAGGAAAGAAACCAGGGCTACTTTCCTCACCGCCCTGAAGCTCAAACCTCAAACTCGACACCCTGGGGCTGAGCACGAAGCCCTTGGCACTAGACGGTCCAATGTTGAAAGCCAGTCCGAATGTCAATATGGCACCAAACAGTGTTCAGGCTTTCAGCTTTAGGATTTTTCGAAATCAGGGTCTTAGGGTTGAGCGTGTTCAGCGAAGCTCGAACCTACCAGCTGTGCGGCAAAGCAATAAGGCGTGGAAGCCTGAGGCCCTCGCCTCACAACTTCGCCCACCTGTGCCGTGCGTTAAGCACGCAAGCTGACAGCAAACTCTACCACATGCAGAGGGTCTCCAATTTTGTAGGTGCACAAACCACGCAGAAAACCAACTACTGTCGTTTTAGAGCTTTCAAGAACACATCTCAACCAAACACCATCACTTCCAACTAGTGGTTCATGCGTAGCCCGTGTAGCCGTAGCAATATGCCTGTAGTGCTGGCAGTATGACTAAGGACTATAACGGCATATTCCTTTCAGGCTGAAGGTTATCACCAAAGACTGCTTCAAGCGTGTCCAACGAATCCCCAAAGCGCAGGCTTTTCCTCGACTTAGGGGCCCAACTGCTACAACTTCACCTACTAAGGCAGCGTTCACCTACTGTTACCACTACAAAAACTCTGGTAGTCATGCATGGGCTTTCCAACAATTTGGAGGTACCTTTGTGCAGGTCTCCATGATAAGGACTAGAACATTTTGGGATCTATACCGCGGTCCCCGTGCATAGGGAAGCTACCACATGGGGTCAGTGAACCCCACCCTAAACCCTAAACCATACCTGCCAAACCGTTTGCCTCAGGATTCTTGGGTAATGTAAATTTACCCTGAAAAGTTGGGTAAGCAGCAGCAGGTGTCTCCAAACGCGACATGTTGAAAGCTCGTGCCCTGCCTTGCCATTGCACTGCCATTGCGAATGCGTATGAGAATCAGTCATGGTATTGCTTCAGAATCCGTTCTGCTTTGCTCGCTTGCCTTTTAACTCTCCAAACGTTGAAACTCCGCAAACATTGCCCTCAGCACGCGTTGCATCGTGCGAAGCGCGTGAAGCTTCGGACTCACACGTCGGCTAACCCTTGAGGGTTTCCCTATGTAATCTTCCTGCAGCTGTACACTAAATACAAGCGGTGAAAGAACCCAATTAGAGGCGCTGGCTTCCATCCACATGTCTACCATGAGATGGTGAAAGAAATGTAATTTGGGAAGAAGGGGAAATCGACGGCAACGAAAATGGTAGGCCATCATCGCCAGCCTGTTGTACCCTTGCAGGAATCGCATTCCATGCGTCACAACTTCCCTTGCCTTGCTCGGGCGTAGCCAGACCCCAGAGCTGTACAGCTCCCTCATGCATGAATTTGCGGCCTGCGTCGCAAGAGCCTGAATCCCAGATTGAATTTCTGGAAACGAAAAGTGTTTGTCTTCGACTACAATCAAAGTGTATGAAAACATTGTAATTGTCTACAACAGAAATACAATTTCAAATTCCCTTTGCGTGTTCATAAACGTTGAAACAAAAGAATGTAAAACACTAACATCCGGGGCACAACTTCACTCAATGCCGGATGTGTGTCATCCTTGTGCAGCCTTCCCATGTAATCTTCGAGCCACTCAAACAAGCGCGTCGTCAGGAAACCCTCGTGCCATGCCCCTGCGGGCATGTCATTTGAGTTCTGCCACGCAAGCAAATCACGACTGATCTGAGTTATGAAGGCGTAGCGGCGGGTTCGCTTGCAAAAGCACCTGTAGTCCTCACTGAGCAAAGCCAGCCGTTGATCTACCGTACCCTGTTCCTCCATGGATTCCAGCAGAGTGACAATAGCCGATGCTATAAAGCTTTTGCCGCAACCAAGATGGAATGTATGCCAACAATCCAATCGGTAAAGCCACATGGCCTTGTCATGTGGAATGTGCAGCAGGGGGCCCGCCCGATCGAAGCCTGCCGGCTCCACACCATCAGTTTGCCGCCACCGTGCCTGCAAAGCGAACTCTTCCCAAGGCCAAGTTTCCTGACCTCCTTCCACGCCACCCCAACAACGATAGCAAATGCCTGAACCCGCCTTTTTGCTTTCAGACTGTTTCGGACACATGGAATAGGTACGCGAGAAATGCCCTGCCTTGCCTAAGTATGGAAGGTCACCCTTGACAGCCACTGTTTGAAAGTAAATGCGTTGAACAGAATCTCCGTCCGGCAACAGCAAACCGTTGGTTGCCAACGACTCCATATCTTTGGCATAGAGCTCCAGCATCGTGTCTAGAGCTCCCGGGCACTTCTTATACAAGAAGTGAGGGAGCGCTGCAAAAATGTAATGGGTGGTGAGCGTGCTGCCTAAGAAGTTGAGGCGCATTGGGTCTTCCTGCGCAGTGTAGTTGTCCTTGTTTTGATCGGCAGCTTGGCTGCATCCTCGACCAAGCACCCCGTGCGTACTCAGCACCATCAGCGGCGATTTCCGGTAGGTACGGCCTTCGTCGCCGTGATGCAAAAGCGGAATGGTGTTCCTCAAGCGATCAGTGTCCTCTCTTCCAGCACGCTTTCCACTGCTGTAAACTGGGTGATCCGGTCTTGATTGCTTGAGGCGACGCCAAAACTCCAGGCAGAGCTCGCGGCGTTTCATTACATCACTCGTGCCAACCAAGTAGTGTAGCCTCCCTGTGCTTGCAAGGAAGAAAATCCAGTCAGTCATTCGGATGTATGGAACCTTTTTTTGGGTGGGGAGGTCAACAAACTGGAGGGGAACAGCAAGCTTGCAATCCTGCTCATCCAAGACTTTGTGCACTCCACTCTCAGAGTGGCCTAAGGATATCTTTGCAAGCGCTTTTATCCCAGCACTGCTGGATGTCGATGTTCTAGCGCTCTCGATGATGTCCGTGCAAGGCACCTGGGCGCAAAAGAGCAAATCCAAAAGCGACGACAGTAGAAGGCAAGCGTATTGTCTGCAGGATTCAGAAGAAAGGCCACATGGAATCTTACAAAGCTGTCAGCGATGCAAAATTCTCCGGCACTTTTTGCAACAGCTGCGCGCGCGCGAAACATAATGCCAAAAGTTGTCGCGAGGCGAGGAGCCTGCTGAGGGAACCCGAGAAACAAAGTAGATGGCTTGGCTATACATTTAATTGCTATTATATGCGTCATACTTCTAGACAGGCCCTCTAAGCAAACCCTTCTGTTAGAACGAGCTACTAGCCTATTGGCAAAGGCAGGTCAGCCCGGGCACCAACAATGTAAACGTAGTAGAGCTCAGCGTGTATATGTCCAGGGCCTTCCCCCCCACATTGAATATTGCGGCAACCAACGATACTTTGATATTGGTCAATCAGAGCTGCTTCCAGCATCTCAGCCGTGCCTTTGCACGTAGTTGAATGCAGCAACATCATAGACGAATAGTTTAGCTCCTGGTACTTTCGAAATCTAAAGATTGGGTTGCTTGTGAAGCCAATCTTGAAAACACAGACATTGGCACCTATCAGACGCCGAAAGGCATCCACTTTGTTTTTGCAGTGCTGCAGTACTTTGCCCGCAGTATGCTTTCCAACCGTGATATCCAAGTATGCAAGGAGCATGGGCTCCCCCAATTTTCGAAGCACCATTTCTTTGGACTCGGTACACTCGCATGAGTTAAACTCCTCCGATAAAGCATCCATCCTATGAGCAGTCAGTGACCCACGAGGATCACATAGTTGTGCCTGAGGTTGGAGCAAACTTGATCATGTCAAAGCATTTAGCATAGGCAATGTGTAGATTACTTTAGATTTCCGTCCTTGCACTGCTATAGGGCTATATATGGCATATGAACTACGCTAGTTAGAAAATATTGGCAATTCGCCGCTGGGCTGCTGGTGGCACTGCTGCAGCGGTGGGAGGCCGATGCGGAACACACGCTGTCATAGCGCTGTCATTGTGACTCACTTTCTGCCTCAGTTTGAATAAGCTACGGAATCTTCAAGCATTCTACACACTGCATGTCTATGGGGCGCATGACAGAATCCATGGAGGCTGTTGCACAAGCCAATGTTGAGCCAAGAAACCTTTTACGCTGCTCAGCCAGTGCTCGCTGGCCACCAGCGCTAGTCCCATGGTCAAAAGTGATCAAGTCTAGGAAGTCAGCTTCCCATTCTTCCAAAGTACCTTGCATGCCTGCTAGAGCCAGCTGTGATCGAACATTCAGAAGGGCGTCTGGTAGGAAGTGAGTTGTCAGCCAAAAGATTTCCTCGAAAAGCTTGGGCAGGCACACCCTTGCCAACCTGGCGCGCCACTGCAACCATTTCTGGATCTGGACCTGGCATTGTGGGCGTGAGGAGGTATCTTGGTGGAATCAATGCTCTTCGGACTATACGGGGCCGACCTGATTGAACCTTTTCAGCAACCCCCTAGCTGTAAGCATCACAGCATCCGCCGCAAAAGGCAGCAATGTAGCGCTGCGTCGTAATTATCTTGAACAAGCAACTGCTGCTACGTACAACAGCTGCGTCGTTGTGCATTTTGCACATCGCTAAGAATGCACCGTCTAGAGATGCATTTTGAAACCTCCGAGGCAAGCATTTCTTGCAGCTCCATGTCAGCTAGGTGCCTCCCCCATTGGAAATCCTAGGTTTACAGTAGCCGTACCCCAATCCTGGTAGCAAGGTGTCACACGTTGGCACGCTGATGTAGGAGACGCCAAATGGCAATTGCCTAGTTTCCTTAATCCAACTTCTCTTCGTGCTTGGCCTTCTTCAGCTGGGCTCGCTCAACTGACCTCATAATTCAGCCACTTTTGACTAAAATCTGGGTTTGTGCTGCACGTGGGTTGCTAAGTGGGCGGAAGTTTTATATTAGTCTTGCCCCCACCCAATCTCCAAGCCCAAAACCTTAAAAGAAATCCACAAAGCAGGTCTATGAAAATATTATAACCCTGAGTTGTCAAGGAAGAGTCTTCGCTTGATTCTCCGCGGCGAGAAGACGGCTGCACCTGGGAGATGCTGGCTTATGTAAACAACTTACAAAAAGTCAGTGTAACCCAACCTGTACCACTGTAGATCACTCTGCTACGTGTTTATATTGTAGAAAAGGGTGCTTGCGCTGCCGCGCTTTTAGGGCTTCTATAATTGTCTGGGGTGTATAGAGTAAAACACAATTATGTAGGAAGCCCCTGTACACGTGGTCAACAATGGTTGAATGAATCTGGAGCTGATTCCCAGAGCCTTAACGGACCAAGGTTCATGTACAAGGTTAGCAGGGTTTTTAGGGGTGTTTTAGGATGTTACTTGAGTTTGTGTATATATATATATCTATATAAGCTTTAAAGACGACGTACGGGGTTCCCATAGCCACAATTAACATATATAGCCACCGTACATGGATGAGCAAAACCTTATAGCAAGTGTGTGCCACGGCGCGCAAGCGAGGCTTCCTTCCACGCCTCATCAATCGATTGTTGCAACCTGGTGTCATCTTACATATACATATTGGGCTTGAGGCAAGTTCGGGGCCTTATAATTCACCAAAGCATTTTCCGGGGGAAGGTATTTCTAGATGTCATACGTAGGCAAGCCACCCTGACTCAGCGTCGAGACGTGCTCTAAGCTGAACCAATTTTTCATGGCCGGACTCCACATCTTTCAGCTTGGCTTCGAGATTATCCAGGGCCCTGAAACCAAGGATGCGCTGGGTTTGGGGACTATAAGAAACATTCACCTACACACTACATGGTTGTCAACCCTTGCGGGCCTTTACCGGGCTTATAGAGGGCTTACATATGTGCAGGATTCATAGCGTTCGTGTAGGATTTACGCGGCTTCTAGAGGGCTTATTCTAGCATTTCGGGTGAAAGTACGCCATTTGTAGCCTGTATAGTAGCTATATATATATATATATATAGCGAGTATGTGTGCACCCCATACCAACTTCCCCAAGATAAGGATAATGCGTGCGCCCGTGGCTCCACTTACCTCTTGCTTTATGGGCTCTATAGAGGGTAGTTTCTCCTACTGTAGGGAAAAGGAGTATATAACAGGTGGTACAAAGTCGAATTTCAGAGGCAACCAGTATAAGGGCTCAATTGTCTTGTCCAAACACCGTCCTCTTGGCCCGGCAGTCTTTGTTCCTGCTGCCCACATACTGTTCCAAGCGGCCTAGGAGGTCATGTACCTTAGACATTTTGGCAAGCGCCGTCTCCACGCACTTGTCCAAGACTATCTGCTCCTGAGCGGAACACTCAAAATACACGCTGTGGCCGGATGCGGTGCATTGCATCAGCTGCCCTGCTACAACTCTGTAGTACATACCTGTACACCTTCCCAGGACCTTTCCCAGTACATGTTTCCTCCAAATCTTTCCCTAGAATAAAGTATATAACCCCACAAACAAAATAGGATGATGGGAGCGTCCAGGCCACAAGCATGCCAGAAGAACACAGGCGTTTTAGGGTCGGTCTCTTTGATTTCTTGGGTGTGTATATACACTTTGTGTTTAGCTAGGGACTCATGTAAGGTTTTTAACAAGTGTATATACACATACATACGGGTTACAAAAAACAAACACATAAAGGACTCATATAGGGCTTGTACAAACGTAACGCCTTTGTACATGTACGATTGATCGAAGGTTTAGCAGTTTAGCACTTTTTGGGCTGTGTATACTGGGTATATAAAAGTCTCTTCATTTAGAAGCTCATGAACGATACGCTCATGGAATGCTACCATGCTTGATAATATACTCTTCAAGAGCGATCTGTAAATAACGCAGACTAGAAGCATCCGTGGCCGCACCAAGACGCGTCGCCTCTGGGGGAGGGGGTCCTCCAGTAGGTCCGGGAACGGATGCGGAGGGGAGGCCTCCACGCGGGCCATTGGCCATCTGGTTGGGGCGCTATTTAACCTGCGGAGGGCCACTTGCAGCCTGGGCGGTGAGGCGCATCGGAGGTTCAAACAGCTTTTCAAAAGGTACACAGGTGACTTCTATACGTGTTTTGAATGGTCAGCTCTAGGGTGCGCCGTGAGGTTGGTATATACTTCGTGAACAGTTAAATTTTAACTGTCCGCCAAGACCACCCCAGATCTCCCCAAACCCTCACCCAAACCAGCCCTGACACCGAGACAAACCCTGAAACCTCCCCAACATCAAAGCAACTGACGAATCCTTGGTTTGCAAATCAGACCCTTCTACCCCAAACCCTCCCAGAGCAAATTCATGCAGAGCTGAGAAATGCGCCCCCGGTTTGGGGGCCCCCAAACCGGGACCTCCCATTAGAGCAGACACTTACCCTAAACCCTACCTAAACCCTTTTTGTAAACCCCACACACAACCCCTATAAACCCTATAAACCCTTTCAACCCTGGAAACCCCATATAAACGCCATACACACTATAAACCCTATAAACCCTGTATATAGATGATGTAGATCAACCCTATAAACTTGAAGTACCCTGCAATCAGCTCCTGCCAGCTATAAACTGTATCATGAAACAAGTACCTAATAAATGTAAATGGCAGCTTCTCGCTGCTCCGTGTTCTCAATATCCTGCTCGCGGTTGAGCACGTGACCGCCATCCTCAATCTCCACGTAGAATTTCTCCAAGCGTCTGCCATAACGGTCGAGCCTGAGTAGAGGTAAGCTGCGCGGCATACAACACCTATCTTAGCAAGATACACATACACACCTAGGCAAAAGAGGGCTCAGTTGGGGTATGTGTGTAAGTATAATTTGTACACACATATATATGGGGAAATCTCAGACCCCTTCCCTCAATGCATCTCAGGCTGTTTGTGCCACGCTGCTTCACCATGCCATTCTGGCGGCAATCGGCTATGGCAAGCTGGATGTAGGACCTGTGTATGCAAAGAGGCCAGGTTTCCAGGGGTTAGGGGGTCGATTCAGTCGAATATGAAGGTAGTCATTTGGTAGCTCAATTTTCTTAGGACGCGGCTTACTCCACTTGAGCTCCGTAGCCATTGTCTTCTCCGTGTGCCAAGCATAGCGTTGCTTGTTCTCATTCTCACGCGTCTTCTTGTGCTGGCGGTTCACAACAGCTATGAACCGGTCCTGGCAAGTGGGTCTATATATATCTATATAGACAAGACAGGAGTTACACAAACAGTCACGCTTTATTCCGACTTGCAAACCAAAGCACCTTGGACCATCCACACTCCCCAAACTGATCCATGAGCTTCTGGCGCGCGTCACCTCCAGCCTTGTAATCAGCCGCTACCTGCTCGGGGACAAGTAGTTTGCCCGATCTCTTCTTCTCGCAGAGCCTGCGAAGCCGGTGGTACTTCGCGGTCTCTGTCGGCTCCCCCTGCCAAAAACAACACTTTAAGGATTCTACATTTGTGTTTACATTCTTGACAACTCGATCCTCTTCATCATCATCAGACCCACTGCGCATCTCGGAGCTGGCGCTGAAGGACTTGGCTAGGTTGCTTGCTGGGGTCGGCGGGTTGCTCTTCGCTGCGTGCAATGAGCTTGGGAGACCTGTGGCTGGCGGGCTCATACGGGAGGTCGCCAAGAAATATGGCGAAGCGCTTGGGGCTGAGGATGGGGTCGCTTGGCCAGGAGGAGGGCTCGGTCCACCAGAGTTCGGGGCGGAGCTGGGCTTGGGCGGGGCACGGCACGGGGTAGCAACAGGAGCAATTGCTTCCGTCCTCGCCTTAAATCGTGCGACTACTTTACACTGTCTGCGGTGTACTCTGACAGAATAGCAGCCCTGCTTTTGGTTGCATTCACAAAACCAACGAACTCAAGTCAACACCATGTTAAAGTCTTTCATGAGATGCCCTGAAGAGTTCTTTGAGTTGATGTTCCACATCCTATGTGTGAACCCACTGTCTCTCTGGAAGGAATATACAAGTAATATAGTTTTGTTTTATGTAGACGTCATAAGCAGCCATTGGCCTGCAACGGAGCCACCTTTTTTGCAGGAGCTGCTATCGATGCTGCGGAAATGGGTCGGCCCAACTTCTGCAACTGGGAAGTTGACGCCTGGGCTGAATGGTTTAGAGGGTTCTCTACGTATCGGGGTTTCGCGTGACAGGGGTGGGTCTGCTCAATGTGTTTGGGCTTGAAGGGCTATATATATATATGTATACAGTAAGTCAGGAGCTCTTGAATTGCAGTCATGTCACTGGGACGGTGTCCACGAAAGTGTCTTCTTCCTTAACTTGGGCAGGTAGACAGTGTTGGGCACGCGTATAAGGACGTACACTACGTACACTTAGAACACTATGTCAACAATTGCAGAGCAAGAAACCTCAGGCTCAGCATCTTTAGCCAACTCAGCCTCGAGCTGATCATACTCCTGTTTGAGCACCTGGTGGGAGATAGTGAGGAAAATCGGGAGGCTATTGAGTGTGCAATCTAGAATCTAGATTTCTACAATTGAACAACCCAAAACCGCAACACTGAGAATAAACCCAGCCTCTAGGCGAGCCCTGACATCCTCAGAAGACTCCATTCTCTCCAGCTTCACTGCCCGAAGTTGCTCCTGACCTCTTTCCACCTCCGAACAACTCCATTTCCGCGAGGGCAAGGGCACAGGGTTCCTGACAGGTTTGCCAGAGGGACTAGGGGCCGAGGCAAGGGTCGAGGAAGGGCTCGGCATTGCAGATGCACACACTCGGAGTAGCTAGACAGCCTACAAAGGCAAGTGCCTACAAAAACAACTTGGCAAGCGTCACAAGGTCTGACATCACATCATGCCCAGCAGGCTTGAGAGCATAGCATAAGATCAAAGTAGCGCTTCTCCAGATATTGCGAAGGTTGCTGCTAAGATCAGCATGGGTCCTTCTGAATTAGCTACGAACAGCGCGCGTTGGCAGGCCAACGTGCAAGCTTGTCATGGTAGCATGAAGATCATAAATGCGAATTTCGCAAAACATCTGATCCACCAGCCCTCGAGCGCCGAAAAAGGTATGTTGAGCCGAATTCAAGGCCAAGTTGAGGCTTACTGATTTTGCGCGTTTTTTGCGTAAAAGTTTGCGCTTTTTTGCGGGTAATTTGCGCCTTTTTTTGTGGATTTTTTGCGGGTAAGGTTCCTTTTGCGGGTCATTTGCGTGTTTTTTTGCGGGTAATTTGCGCCTTGTCTAGAATCTGCATAAATCTGCATAAAATCTAACATAAATTATGTTGAGAATCTAAGCCCGAAACAAAAATAGGGGAAACAAGTTCTGGGGCTTCTAGATCACCTTTAAATTATACTTCAAAGGCTTGCGCAAGACTATGGAACCCTTTTACAGAAGAGCACTTAGAGGGCGGTAGGAATCAGGTGTCTCCAGCACGCCGGAATCTGGAGGGAGGAGTTCCCTTTCAAATATTGCAACACTTCCGGCATCGCAGCATCTACCCATAAGTCTGAGAAGTCTGCTGCCTCAAAGACTTCCTGTGCATCCAGATTAACTGGCACGGGCAGTGGCTCAGGCTTTGCTCGGATCAAGCGGTGGCGCATTCGCTGGACGCGGAGGCCGAACTTGATGGGATAATTCCTGGGACAAGATATAGAAGGAAACATCAGGGGTCCATGGGACACATAGTCGTTATATAGCTCGTATAAATTAAGGTCTTTAACCTAACGGTTTTCCCTACACCCACAAGAACTCATCGGATTCAAGGACATCAGCGTTACCATCATCGTTGGAACATATTCGAACCATCATCATCATCATCGTGGTCATATCATCCAGAGGATTTAGCGGCATCCCTTGAAAAAAATCTTCTACGTAGAACTAGATACCCCAACCTTGTGGAAAACAACTGAATGGGGCGAAGGTCTCAGTCTGCTTCAAATGTCTGGTGCCTTTGTATCGTAGTTTTCCTGCTCTATCTCGGTAACGCACACAAGTCTTGGGGGCACGCTGAAATCTGGCCCGCCGAGTCAATGTCCCCAGGTCAAAGCAGTTCACAGCAGGGGTGTTGGCAAATAAGACATGCCTCTTGGGCGTTCGGGACTGGTAGTTCCCCATCCAGAACTTGGCAGTCCACACCTGGAGGTACAATCTAGCTAGCAGCATATATATGGGGCAATTGGGGGAGACTTTCATAGATTTGCAACACGTAAGGCGACCTATAGAACTATTGTCTGTTTACCCGTAACAAGTCTGTTGTTACTTTCACCCAGGCCTTCAGCTTGTACCGCAGCGGTCGGAATCTATGATGAAATTCGGCCGCCGAGTTGTTCGGCTGCTCTAACACCCAGACAAGTCCCATGGATTCCGCTAAGTAGATCAGGATAATTGTCCTTCGCTGAAGACCAGCTAGAACGCCAATGGGAATGTAATGCACATTGGAAAACCCCCCCCGGTTATTGTAGCAGAATGCAAGTATAAATATATATATATATACAGAGTTACAAAGCCATTCAGTAGAAACATTGCGTGAAGACAATTCGTCTCGTATTCCCAAGCCACTCTATACAAAAGGGTTACCTTGCTGTCTCGTGTCCGGCACAGCATCAAATTTGCTTCTCGTACCGATTTGTACGCCACGTTACCGAGACCGCATATAATACTCCTCCCAGAAGTCCCCTGGTTGACTGCTGAAAAACTCGAACACTTCATCCCCAGAAACATCAGGGCATCGGAGCGCGCGTTCAGCACGGTGGCGAGGGCCAACCTCGGCAGCTGCTAGTGATGAATCTTCCTGGGATTGGTTAGGTCTGTATACATATAAGGCTTGTCTGGTTTACAGGGTTTTACAGGGCTTATAGGTTATATGTAGTGTGTATATACATATAGGGCCGGATCAAGGGCTTAGAGGGATTCAGACTTAGAGGTACGTGAGGTCTACAGATGCCCATTTCAGGCATCACCACAGGTTTGCCAAGGCGACGAAAGGGAAATTTCGAGGTTTGGATGGAAGCCTTGTACGGTCTTCGTGATTATATATAAGGTTTGAATTCTTGTTGGGGTATATACACATGATGAATGTACACACAATGTGACCTTCCAATGAGCCCTGGGAGAACTATTTGCCGTAAAAGTGTAGATAGAACACCGTTCACTCAGAAGCACAGAGCTCGTGCTAATGTCTGCATACTCTATATAAAATATATATGGCCGACCCGGCTATATGATATGTACATATATATATATAGAGGGATTTTAGTAAAGCTTTACTGGCCCACTTGTACTTATATATGTGTATACAGAATGCACGAGCTCTGCGCTCTCTGACGAGGTAGGATTCATTCAGGTTGATGGGGTTCAGGAATCATGCTTGGAAGCCTCAATTTTAGGGTGAGAAGGTGCAAGACCCAATATGAACCCATTAATTGTGAGGATGTGCAGTTTTGTTTTGACAGGCTTGGACTTATTGTACTTGTTATATGGGGGAAAGTTGAGGGCCTTTAAACTGTTGGGTGTTTATGAAAGCTGCACAACCTTGGGAGAAATTCATCAGCCTTGTCAGGAAAGCTACTACGTTGCCCCAAGTCAGCACTTGCCTGAGAACCTCGTAATCCCAACTGAAACAAAACGTAGCCTCCTGACCCTTTATATAGACTCAGAAACGCATCCATGAATACAGGACACCATGATAAGCCTTGAAGAACTCGAAGTAGTTATTTACAGGTGACGGTTGCCACTGTGATCTACACGTAACCCCGCACGAATTTTAATGGATGTGTATAAGATGGAGACGTAATTGCCAGGCCTTCTGACATAAGAAGCGCATGAAACTTCTTGGCCTTTGTCCCGAAGAGTCCCCGTTTTCAGGCCACTACATTAATCCAAGAGATCGAGATACGCCATCCCAGCGCTACTGAGAATGTCCATGAAATTCTGAGTGCCAGGAGGTGCAGCATGATAGTTAATGTCCAGGCTGGCCGTGGGGTGGCCGGCAAGTCTCGAGCTACATTGCCAAGCCCCGCAAAGAACTCCAGCATTGTGTAGGTCTGGCAAACAACGAGTTTGCTTCATTACAGCGAGAAAGCTAGCTCCCCACAGGATCAGCAAGAAGCAGTTCAAACTACCTCAGAAAACATGAGCGATGCTCAAGAACCCCATGGGCCTGCTGGAAGCACTGGATGTTGAGCATTTCCAGAATTGCTTTCGGGAATAGATGTCTAATTCGGGACCCCGTGTTGCCAAAAGTTTCAAGCCGCTCAAAAGAGAAGACCGGGGTATACTTCAGAGGGAGGCCCAAAAAAGCTAAACAACCACTGCTATAGAGACCCAACTTTATTAACGTCCGGTAAGATTGCGCTAATGTGAGTTTTGGTTTTCCACTTGTACCCCCAATCTATCAAGTACTGAGCAAGCTCGCGGCTGCTAAAGGGTGGTGTATCCATATATACACAGGGCTAGCTAAACCTATCAACGGTATTCATACCTATGGGGACCTATATCCCTAATTAATCAAAAAAGGTTGATGCAAGAACACAGAGGAAGAAATCCACCGGTATAATGCGTAGACCCTTCCTAAGACTACAGGGTGATAGTAATTATAGTAAGTATATAACCCATATGGCTCTAGGTAGTTGAGATTCTACCTAATGGATCCAGTTAACCCCCTTGAAGTCATATGTAGCCGATTACAAATTTCATATGATCCCAGGCATGCCTTGGGGGCTCCCATCTCCTGGAGTCGCCAGAAAATCGCCGG